GCTGTTTGCATCATTCTTTCTAATGATGAAAGACAGGTTTCCACTTCATCAGGGCCCAGGAGCTGTGGTTTCACAAAGAAGGGCATGTCAGGAGCCACCTGCTCAGAGGGAAGGCACAGCCTGGCACTGTGGGCTCACCCCAGCAGTTCCTGCATCCTGCTTTTGTGCTGACCCCCTTTGGGGCACAGAGGCTGTGAGGGGGCACTGGGGACTCCAGCAGGACACAGAGTCTGTTATGAGGTGGTGTTTTTATTTGTCTTGCTCCCTGTCCAAGAGGAGGATGAAGTCATGGTTCACCTGCCAGCGCTCCCTGGGAGGGATCTGCTGCACTGATCAGCACTGTTATATCAGGCACTATTTTCCCAGGTTTTGCACAGGTCCCACCAGCTGCAGGAATGGTGCAGGGAAGGTTTAGGCTGCTGCCAGTCAGCCCTGCAGACATGCCCAGACCCTTCTGGTGCACAGCAGTGTCATTAACCACGGGCACAAGGCACAGACCCACCCCCTCCTGATGCCCACGTTGGCTCCATCCCTGGGGGTGTCCTGCATCCCTGCACCATCCAAACCCCATCCCTCTGCCTGAGCCCTCGCTGCCCTTCCACACCTCCATCCCTCAGACTTTGTGATGTGGTACAGTGGGCACAGTGGGATTTGTTTGAAGGGTGGGCTTGACGATTTTCGAGGTCTTTTCCACCCTTAATGATCCTACAATTCTATGATTCTGTGATCCCTTCTCCTTCCCTTCCTCCCCTGCTCTGCTCCACTCTCAGCAGCCTCCTCCTGTTGTCATAACAACAAGCAGCAGCCCGTGGTGGCCGTGCCAGCCCTTCCAGCAAAAACACCTCCTCCTGGGAGCAGGCACCGGCCCTCGGCCCCGAACCATCTGGCTGAGCTGGGGAGGGGCCGGGGGCAGAGGGACAGGGGCTGCCCTCACCCAGACACACACTTGGCCTCGCGTTGTGCCCCCAGAACTGGGCGTTGGACACACGGGCACACGTGGAGAGCTGTCCCCAGCTGGTCTCTGCAGCACAGACTCATCTCCTGCATCCACCTCCTGACACCCCCCTGCTCACCCACATCCTTCTGTCCGAGTCACAGCGTGTGGGAAGGGCCATATCCCTGCCCAGCACCCCATGGCAAGGCAGCAGGTGGGTCTGCAGGGCTCATCTGTGACTCTCAGCACAGGGGGTGACTCTGGGGCTGGGCCTGTGCAGGGCTGAGGGTTGGACTCCAGGATCCTTGGGAGTCCCTTCCAGCTCAGCACATTTGGGATTCTGTGACCTGCCCCAGCCATCTCTCCTCCACAGAGCTCACCCCATATCCCTGGAGCCAATTCCTGACCATCCCAGCCTCCAGGTCTCCTCTCCTCCCTCTATGACACATCCTCACATGGAGCACCCTGAGGCACAGCCAGGATCAAAACAGAACAGCTCCCTGCAGACTAAGGAGTCCCACAGACTCCCTGTGGCTTGGGATGTGCTTCTCCCAGGGGAACCAAGACCACAGGCACAGCCAGAGCTGCTCCTGAAGTCACTGCAGGCACTGGACATCCCTCCTGTGGTCCAGAAAATCAATCAAATTCCAGGTCTCAAAGGGATTTCTCCTTTTAGAGGCCTGTAACCAGCAAGAGATCAAAACCCCTCCAGACCAGCCTGTTCAAAGCAAGGGGGTTCTGCTGTACCCAGAGGTGTGTAAGGAACACAAAGAAATGCAGATCTGAGGTTCACCTGCTCCTTAGTCATTTCTCTCAAGTGTTGGGTGAGTTCCATCGAGCCCAGACCTGCTGTTCCAGGACCAAAGACAAACACCCTCCTCAGTGGTTCTCAACCTCTTTCTCAGCTCTTTTCCAGCAAGCCCTGCCAGCCCCACCCTCAGGGAAGTGTCCATAGATCTTTGAAGTGTTGAAAAGCAAAACCAAAACCCTGCTGGCAGGGCTGGACCTTGGTGGGAACAGCTGCCCCTGCCCACCTCCACCCTGTCCCTCAGTCCTGCTGCATCTCCCTGGGGACATCATTCCATCCCCAGGCCTTTCCCCTCTGTTATTCCTGCCATGCCAGCAACTCCCCTTGGTGCAGCTCTGTGCCAGGCTGTGGAGTGACTGAAACCATATAAACTGATTTTTTTTTTTTTGGCTAAAGCCATTCCATCTACTCCACGCAGGCTCACCAGCCCTTCCCAGAGTGGTGCTGGGCTACATCTTCCAATAGCATCCATGAACTGGGCAATCTGCCTCCTCCTTAAATGGCTTCCCACTGCCAGAGGGCAGGGTTAGATGGGATATTGGAAAGGAATCCTTCCCTGGGAGGGTGGGGAGGCCCTGGCACAGGTTGCCCAGAGAAGCTGTGGCTGGCCCATCCCTGGAAGTGTGCAAGGCCAGCTTGGAGCAACCTGGGCTAGTGGGACGTGTCCCTACCCATGGCAGGGGGTGGGATTGGATGGTATTTAAGGTCTGTGGTTCTGTGATTATTCAACCAAAAGCTTCTGAGAGGTCAAGGAGTGAAGATTTCTGAAGGTGCTTTTATTGTGTTACACATAAAAGCCTGGTTACAAGTCCTCTTTCAGGTTCCCAAGTCAAGTTCCTGAGCTGCTGGGAGGCTAAACCTGGGTAGAAGGAAAGATCATTTCATCAAGGGACTCGGGGATTTCAAAAGAACAGCAGGAATTTCAGCCTCCCAGAGAGAGGGACTGGTTTGAACTTCCCAGAGCATTGTCCCAACCCTCCCTTTTTCACACGGCTATCGGTGACTGCACCTCCCAGGAGAACCAGCCTGTAACATCAGCCAAAGGATTCCTAATAGTTTGATACCACATTTGGATTCCCAAGGGAGGAAATGTCTGGTCTCTGTGTCTACAAAACAAAGACTCTAGAGGGGGAAGGCATTTCTTGGGACACCTGATTAATTGGAGCCACTCTGGAGATCAGTGTAAACCAAATTGGTTCCAGGCTGGGGAGATTAGTGGGGTTTAACTGCAGTGTTCTCCAGACATCTCTGGCTGCCTTTGGAGTGTCTCTGGTTTTAAGCATTGGAGAAATATTTTTTTTTTTTTTTTTTTTTTTTTTTTTTTTTTTTTTTAAGGGAAAATCATTCCTCTGGTCAGTGGCAGAAGCACAAACTGGAGAGGCTGGTGGTGAACCTGGAACGAACCTCCCCATCCCACCCCCTCCAGCCAAGGCTCAGTGCCTTCCACCAGCAGCAAGGAAAATCCAGGGTGCTGTTAAGGAAGGATCCCAACTTCCCCAAGCCCTGACTCTCACAGAATCACAGAATCACAAAATCTTCTGAGCTGGGAGGGACCCCCAAGGATCCTGGAGTCCAACCTTGAGCCCTGCACAGGCCCAGCCCCAAGAGTCACCCCCTGTGCCCCAGAGGATCAGCCAAAGCCTCCTGGAGCTCTGGCAGCCTTGGGGCTGTGCCCACTGCCCTGGGGAGCCTGGGCAGTGCCCAACCAGCCTCTGGGGGAAGAACCTTTGCCTGAGATCCAACCTGAGCCTGCCCTGACACAGCTCCAGCCATTCCCTGGCTGCTGTCCCTGCTCCCCCAGAGCAGAGCTCAGTCCCTGCCCCTCCTCTGCCCCTGCCCAGGAATTGGAACTGCACTGAGGTCTCCCCTCAGTCTCCTCTGCTCCAGCTGAACACACCAAGTGCCCTCAGTGTCCTCCCACACCTTCAAATCCAGGCCCTTCCCCATCTCTCTGCCCTCCTTTGGACACTCTCCAATGGCTCAATCCCTTCCCTCCATTGTGTCCCCCCAAACTGCCCCAATGTTGAGGTGAGGCCACCCCAGGGCAGAGCAGAGTGGGACAATCCCCTCCCTCACCCAGCTGGAAACATTTTGCTCTCCCACATCTCCTCAGGCCCCCAGAAACTCTCTGGATGCACAAAGCAAATGGTAGATCCACTTCCATTGCCCCTGGCAGGCTCTCAGAGCAGGGACAACAGCAAGAGTGTCCTCCTTGGAGCAGAGAAATGCAGAGCACAGCACCCACCACCCCCAGCTTTCCAACACAGGAGAGCCCTGGGGAAGTGGTACCCAAAGCTGGGCATTGCTGACCTTGATTAGTACCCAAAGCTGGGGATTGCTGACCTTGCTGGTCTGGAGTTTGCTCCTGGCCCTATGAGGAGGCCCCCGTTGCTGTCTGCAGTTGGGGAAGCTGAGTCACGGAGCAGCCGAGTGCTGGGAATGGTTCAACTTCCTTCTGGCTGCTGGATAAATTCAAAAGGAGTCATTGCTGCAAAGCCAGACAGATCTTAGAGAGGAAGAAGGCAGAGGTTTGTGCCCTGCCAACACCTCTCTCTCCTCTCAATGCTGAAATGTGGCTTTTCTGAGACTAAATGGAGACCAGACAAGCTTCTCCACCTCTTCCCTCACCTCCCTCATTCAGAATTCCTTCCCTGTCCTGCCTGGTGAATCCCCCCCTGCCCCAGCCCCTGAACTTGTCTGCAAACATCCCCCAAAGGCTGCTCAGCCTCTGGAGCCCAAGGGTGAAGGGGAGCAGGGAGTTCCTGCCCAGAAGGGTTTCCTGGTGCGTGGAACTGAGCTCAGTTCCTTGGGGGAAGGAATTAGCATAGGAAAATTCTCTTTTTTATTATTATTTCTTTTCTCTGTTTTCTAATAGTGTGCTCCCAGGCCAGGCTGGATGGGGCTCTGAGCAACCTGGTTTAGTGGGAGGTGTCGGGGTGGAACAAGATGAGCTTTAAGGTCCCTCCCAACCCAAACCATTCTATGAATTCTGGACCCTGCAGAGCCCCATCACAGCATCCCCCGTGGCTTTTTCTCAGGGTTTCTGTGCTGTGAGGAGGAAAACCTGGAAAAAAATACCAAAATTGTGGCATTTCTTTAGGGCAGAACTTCACCTGCAGCTGGGGGGGTCAGCAGGGATGGCTTGCTGGGGGTGCTGCAACTTAACCCGGGTTTATCCCAACATTCTCCATCATTTCCCAGGTCCCCGAGCCTGTGCTAAATCCAGTGACAATTAAAGACTGCCAGCCATGCAAGTAGTGATATGTTGGGACTTTAAAATTTATTCCAACATGCTATTTTTTTAAAAATACGCCCAGACTGAGCAGACAATCTGAGCTGTAGTAAAGGCAATATTATACTTGTAAAAACTTCTCATTCACAGTACAGATGTCATTTACAATAAGGGTCACAAACATCAAATACTGAGTATTTTTCTTTTTTTTTTTTGTTTTGTTGTTTTTGTGAGTTTTTTGTTCTTTTTGTTTGTTTGTTTGTTTTTACATCAGACTGTGCTTTTACCTGCTTTTTTTTTTTCTTTTTTGCACTGATATAACCATACAGACATTGCAAGATGCAAGTGTAGAAACTGGAGTTAAAATAAAATTACAGGCAAAACTACCAAATTACATTGTAACGCTGTACATATTTACAGTACCATTTTTTGGAATGTATTGCCATTTTAAGAACATATAGAAACTTTCTACAGACTATTCCACTTACAGAATACATACACCTTTTAGAAAAAAAGGCAAATATTTATCTTACATGAGACCATGTATATTAAATTTGCGTACACATTATTATTATTATTATTATTTTACATTACATTTACTAAAGTGATCGTAAGTGCCATCATATCTCAGTAATGAAAACAGATTGGTTTTATGCCATCAGGACTGATTTTTTTTCTTTTTTTCCTTTTTTTTTTTTTGTAAATAATTTACAATATTTTTTTTTGTGTAAATACTGTGCAATAGATGGAAATAATAAAAGAGAAGGGGAAAAAAAAAGGACATGATGAAACGAAGTCAGCAAAGGAAAAGCTACTGCAAGGACAGCAGGGAAGGGCTAGATCAAATCATCAGGGTTTGGCATGAAAATTGGACTAATTTTAATGATTTTCCACAAGTGTATTGCTTGTTCAGGTGCCGTTTCTGTGGATTTTAAAGCAAACCAGGTAAAGTGGGAGTTGGTTTAAGGGAAAAACCAACTGTGCTGCAGATCTGGGGGTGGAGGGGACAGCAGAGCCAGGGGGAGGTTGTGCCTGGCAGGGCTCTGATGGGAAGGACCCCGGGATGTGCTGCTCCAGCTGGGAATCCCAGGGGCATCTCCTGCCCCATCCAGCCCGGGGCAGCTTGGACAGGGCTGGAGTGGGATTTAGAGCAGGGTTTGGAGCAGGGTTTGGAGCAGGGTTTGGGACCAGTGGGTGGCTTGAAGTGCTGGCCAAGGAGTGTCACTTCAGGGACACCTGGAATGTCACCCCTTGGGAGCAGGTGATGAACTACATTTCTCAGTCATAAATTATAAAGTCACAGCTACTTCATCAGGATTTTTCAGAGTTTCCTGCTGTGATTCCTGGGTATCCAGCCAACAGCCTGGGAATAATTGGAGCTGGCAGGGATCTGCTTCAAGGCACGGGGGCGTTTTGGGGAGCCAACAGCCCCCTCTCTTCATCCCATGGCCTGCTCAGCCCTGTAAGACCCTGAGCTCTGTGACCTTGATAAAACCTTGATAAAAATTGCTCAATTCATGCTTAAGCACAAAGAAGTTCCTAAAACTCCAGAAATACTTAAGCTCAAGCCAAGGTACAGGTGCTTTATGAGCTCTGGCTGTGAGTCTTGGTATTTAGGATGACTGTGTCAAGGGATTGTTCCAGAGCACGGGCCAAGTCCTCTGTGCAGGATGATTTCTTGGATGGCACAGCATCTGTTTGCCATGGAATACCTGCAGTCATGGAGCTGCACAAACAGCTTATCAGGGAAGGAAATATCCGAGCAGGGTTTGGGGTGATTACCCACAACAAAGAGGAGCAGCCAGGCCCTGGAGGCCACGTGCCTTCATGGATTATAAATTTAAGAACCTCTGCCACGAGAAAAGCAGGGGATTTGATTTCCACCTGCTGATGAAAAGGAAAGGCTGGGCTCTGCTTTTTCATTTGCCTATTTGCATTATTAATACATTCTCTTGCAAATAATACTGCTAATTGCTCTGCAAAGCATCTGTACTAACCTAACCATCCTTGCAGCCCTTGTGGGAAGCAAAATAGGGTCCATCAGCCCCGTTTTGCAGACAGAACAGACATTCAGAGTGATATTGAAAGCTGTGACCACCAGATGTGACACAGGGGAGCCAAAGGGGGATCCGGGTGGGAACAGCAGCCAGGGGTGACGGCTGGGGCTTGAGCCCTGCTGGGAATAACACCCAAAACCCTCCAAAAATCAGCAACGTTCCTGTGCTCCTTGGCTGAGTAGGAGGCAGGGGGAGACACGTTTGCACAGGGTCACACTAACCCTGCCCGCAGACAGAGATGCTGGTGCCGGCGGGGAGGGGACGCCCTTCCCCGGAGCTCTGAGCTGGCAGTGTGACCATTTAGCCCTTAAATTGCAGTTAGGGGTTTTTTTTGTGAGCCTTTTTGCCTATCCAATAGGCCGTATTGCCCGGGGGAACAGCGTGAAGCACCATTTCAGCCCAGCCAGAGCTTCCCCCTTCTCTGTTGAGAAGCCGAACCGGGTGGAGACTCAGCCCTGGGGGGTTCGTGCCCATCTCCTGAGTTTGCAGCGGCCCCTCCGGTGCCCTCTCCGTGCTGGGTGTGGGATCCGAGCAGGGCGTGGCCCTCACAGCTCCACAGCCCTTCCCCAAAACTCATCTCCCTGCTTTTATTGGCCCTGGCTGAAGAGCCTGGCTGCTCTGCAGCCCAGATGCAGAAAGCTCCAACTCATCCCGAGCTGCTGGAAAAGCTTCAATAATAATAATGATAATAATAATAATAATAATAATAATGACAACAATAAAAACCCATCACAAAAAAAAAAATCAATAAACCAATGTAATGACTTCTGTGTTTTCTTGGGCTTTTTTTCCCCCTCCACTCTGTCCATAAATGACAGAGGGGAACAAAAATCCACGCAAAATATCAACAGGTCAAGGATTCAAATGCAGTTACAGAGAGAAGCTGAAAAAATTTGATCTAGCCCAAACCTCGTGGAAAATGCACCAAAAAAACCCAGGATGCTGAGTGCACAACTGCTGCAGTATTTTTCTTTATGTACAATTTTTTTATATATATATATATATATGTGATATATATATATATATATTTATAATTAAATACAAAAAGCTACCTTGGAATAATGTTAAGAGTGTGACAAAGAGGCAAAAAGTGGCAGAAGTCAGGAGAGTAACTAAATTTGGTGGATGGTTTCCAGGGGTTTCACACCAGCCCTGGCTGAGCACACCTCTCCCAGTCATCCTGATATTAAACACACACTTAAAGCCTGAGAGCTGAACTGAGCTCCAGCCCCTGCTCCTGCCACGGGATCTGAAAAAGATCTGAAAGCAGGACCAGCTTCCAGGCTTGGGGCCAAAAAAGGGGAAATGGGAAAAAGGGAAACTTGATAAAAGTGCTAATTAGGGTATAAATGGGTTCTGGATGTTGTTTGGGTCAGTGTCACAACCTTAATGTTATTTCCATGATATCTCCTTTTGTACTTAATTCCCTTTACAAGAAGAGTAAAAAAAAAAAAAAAAAGAAAAAAACAAAAAAATAAAAAAAATTTTTATTCTTTGCCCGTGAGACGGGAACAGTTCATAGCTCAGAAAGTGTGGCAAGGAAAAATGGTCTTATTCAGGGTTTTATTTGATTTCTTTTTTTTTTTTTTCTTTTTTTTTTTTTTTTTAAAAAGTGTATTACGTACCCGATAAACTGGAACAGCTCTGAAAGAAGAAAGAACTGGTCCACTGGTTAAATAGTTATATCTTTTTTTTACCGTTTTTTTTTTAATCTTAAAATAAAAAAAAAAAAAGAGGTTTGTACAGATTCCATAGACCAGAAAACCCTCTGAAGTAGTAAAGAACCTGCTGTTTGCTGGGGCAAACTCTTGGATATTTGTGTTTTAAAAAGAGAATTAATGTGCCAGAGGGGAACGGCTCCATGGGGTCACTCTGGATTTGGTATCTCTTGGCAGTAGGGGCCTTTGCTCTGCTAGGGATGGGCATCCTTAAAAATCTGCTCTGGCAGAAGTTGCTGTGCATGCAGAACAAGCTGGGTGCAAGCATCAACCACTGAGCATCACCACGTTTGAGCTTCCAAAACACCCCAGGACGGGCCCATCGGCACAAGGGCTGTGCTGGGGACGTTCTGCTGAAAGAAATAAAGGAGGGGAAAATAAGACACAGAGTCACTGGGTGAGATCCAGCCCCGACACGTGCAAAGGAGCAGAGCCCAAACCGCTCCTGCATCCCCAGAGCTCCACGGAGCCAAACCAGCCAGGGCCGGGCTTGGGATGGGATGGGATGGAGGGACTTGGTCTGTGACCAAAAAATGACAGAGGAAAAAACGGTTGCAAGGCTGAGTTTTGTTCCCCTTTTCAAGCGAGGGAGGTGTTCACAGAGGGCTCTGAAGCCCAGCCGGGCCGGGTCTCAGGCACAGCTCTGCCGGGCGGGAGGGGAGGATTAAAGGAGCAGGGGCCGGCTCGGCCAGCGAGAGACACCGATCCTGGCCCTGGGGCTGCATTCCATACATTCCTATGTTCTCGCAGGTCAATCTTTGAACCTTTTTTTTTTGTTTTTTTCTTTTTCTGTCCCTTTTTTTAGAAAAGTGCTTTGCTGGGTCCTGCGGGAGGGAGGGCTGCTCGTGTTCGGCTTTTCTCTCTCTCGGGACCGTTTCTCTCCCTTCGAACGCCCCTCCCCTGCTCGAGGAAGTGCTACTTTCACGTACAAGTTCAGGGTAAACACGTTTTTTTTTTCAAATGTAAAGCAGTTTCATCTGTTTAAAGCACAACCATAGGCAACCAGGGGGATGCAAGGAAAAAAAAATACCAAGCACTTTGCAGGAATTAAATAAAGCATGTAATAAATACGAATCATAAACTTCTGTACACAGGAGCAAGGGTTTGGGTTTTTTCCTTTTTTTTTTTAATCATTTAATCAATATAAAAAAAAGTTTTTTCTGTTTTTTTTTTGTTTTCAGTGCATTTTCTTCCTTTTAAAATGCTTAACCCTTTCCTTTCTGCATCTCTCAGGCCCAGAATTACGCACACCTAAATGGCAAAAAAGACAAAGGTCTAACAAACCCCCTTTCCAAAAAACTCTAAAAAAATATTCACAGCCTCAAACAGTTTTGTACATTTCAAGCAACAAAAGGTATAGAAAAAGGCACAAGTAACTGCATACATGTGGAGATAATACCAGACTGGGACAAAGAAAACCAGGACTTTTCCATGGGTTTGGTCATTCACTAGAGTGCTTCTTATCGGTGATTATACTAAAGGAAATAGTGTTGAAAATGTCTGTTGATTTTACAGAGGAAGCCTAAAGGTGGAACAGATGGAGGTTTAAGTACTTCCCGCGTTTTCATCCACCTTTGTTTGAGTTTGACCTAAAGCTGCGTGCTCTGGGTGGGGGCTGCTCTTCCCGGAGGTGCCCCCTTGGTGCCCGGGCTCCCCGGAGAGGTTCCTGGGGCGCAGGGACAGGGGGTGGCTGGGCGGGGGCTCCGGGGGGGCAGCGGGGGCTGCTGCCGCCGTCACACGGGGGGGCATCTGAGATGAAAGTGCAGGGTGACTCAACAGAAGTGCTCGAGCTGCCAGATTGCTTCTTGCCCGTTTTTTGGGGGGGTTCTTCCTCCCCGCTCGTCGGAGGCTTTGGACAGTGCTCGTGGGGTGTGCTGGGGCTGCCCGGGCCCGCCCGCTCCTCTGGGCTGGGCTCAGCCAGCGCTTGTACCCTGTGTTCCTCCTGCTCTGGCTGCTGCCGAAGCTCACTAGTCCTCATTTTCTCCTCCAAATAACCCCCACTCAGCTCCGGGGACAGCGCGTACTTGGAAACCTTCGCAGCCGGGGACGCGGCCGCCGCTGGGATTTGCGGCTCCTCATCCCCCTTGGGAGCCCGGCCGAACTCCGCCACGGCTCCGCTTCCAGAGGCGAAGTATCCGGCTTGTAGGGACACCACGGAGCTGGGCACCAGGCTGGGGTGGGAGCTGGGCCTGGCCTGGACCATCTGGATGCCCCCGATGGGGATCATGGGGTACGGGGTCCTGGTGAGCTGCTGCGAGTGCAGCGGGAGGTGGCTGAAGACGTTCTCCTCCCCTCGGGCCGGGGCGTGGAGGTCGTGCGGTGCCTGCAGGGGCCGGGAGCAGACGGGCTGGGTGGGGCCAGGGGAGCGTGGTGGGCTTCGGGGCTCGATCTTCTGTGCCAGAGAGGGAAAAGAAAGAGCTGGATCAGTGCAGGGAACGAGTTACACCTTTAGCACCACTAATGCTCACTACTAGGATTGGGTTCAGCATCTGATTCTAATCAATCGACCACGGAAGATGAGGAGATCCAAACCTTTAAGGAAAGGAGCAACACAACCCACAGCGTTTGCCTTCTGGCTACAAATGTGCTGTGGTCTGCTGGGGCACAGATCCAGGGCTTTGGCTTAGGCTTGGATCGTTATAAAATCAGGAATGGTTTGGGTTGCAGGGGGCCATTAAGGGTCATCTTCCACTAGACCAGGTTGCTCCAAGCGCTGTCCAACCTGGTCTTGAATGTTCCAGGGATGGGTCACGTACTACTTCTCTGGGCAACCTGTGCCAGGGCCTCCTCACTCTCCTGGTAAAAAATGTCTTCCTTGTATCTAGTCTGAATGTCCCCTCTTTCAGTTTAAAACCACCACCCCTCGTCCTACTCTCAGAGCTGCCTCTGAAAGCCCAGCAGAGGATGGCAGTGGTTGCTGCCATCAGAGCTGCTTTGGAGCCCTTTATCAGCCCTGGGTTCCTGAGAGCCCAGAATAATGTTATTTATTTTTTACTGTACTTTCTTACAGCAGGATTGCACCCTCCCAGCTGCTCATTGCAAGGATGCTTCAGACCGAGTGAGAGGCATCACTAACTCTGGTTTGACCAAAGCACACCCAGTGTGGCCCCACCACCACCCTCATGGGTGAGATTTGCTCTAGAAACCAAGGGTTAAGGCCCTACAATTTTACCTTTTCCTCTTTCTCTCTCGGTGCTTCCCATAGTTTCCTAATGTACATCATGGAGAGATATGGGGCTAAACAGAAAGGGATTAATTAGTGATGAGGTCATAACTAAACCCCTCCATAGGACTCCCAAGAAAGGGAAGCAACAGAAACTGAAATCAACTTTCCACTGAGATGGGTTAGTGACAAAGTGTGAGGATCCATTTCATTTCTTTGTAGGATTATGGAGAACAATTTCCTGACCCTGCAAGCTGGATCTCTATGAAGAGGTGACAGAGGAAAGCAGCAAAAGAGGGCAGAAAGGAGACAACACAAGAGCCACCGAAGGTGGTGGGTACTTGGTCAGCCCAAACACTTGCTAAATGTCACTTATCCACATGAAGTCTTGGCCAAATCACTGTAGGGATGCTGGGAACCCCCAAACAAATGATCTTAATGGTGCAACAGCCACCAGAAAGAGGAACTGCCTTCTGCAAGGGCCAGAGGGAAGAGAGATGGTCGTGGTAGGACTGGACAGAAAGCCTTACACTGAAACTAAGCTAAGATCATCTTCGAGCTCTGTTTAGGATCTGATAAATCCCCCTCTGGTCTCTCTGTCTCTTGTAGCCTTACCAGGAATGTAATTGTGCAGTGAAAACCCTGCTGTCCATCTTGCTGAGAAATGGAAGTTTTCCATTCAGGTAATTTTTGTTGCTTTGGAGACACATGAGCAAAGCAACAGCAGTGGCTCTGGGAGAATGAAAAGAGCAGGAACATGGAGTAAAAAGGTGGTTGAGAAGAAGCTGAAAGGTGAGAACGGGCAGAAAAGCAGGGGCTTATTATCTTCTGCTGTGGATGTGGAAGCTTAGGGGAGTTGCTCCAAGTAGGGGGGGTGAGCAGTTGTCCTGACAGAGATGCTTCAGAGCGGAAGGATGGGGGTTTCCAGAGCCCTGAGATTCCCCCAAGGAGTTAATTGACAGGAAAGGGAAATAGCATTAAAGCAAAGGTTTGGACCTAAAGGAAAGGACAGTCTCTGAGAAGGTGAGACAAAGACTGGTAGTGGGAAGCAGAAGGAAGGCAGCACCACGAGAACATCAGCATGGACATGGAAGGAACACACAGGGGGCAGCGTGGCTGCTCTGGAAAGGACCTGGGCCAGCATCTGCCATGGTTCTCCAGGGGCTGTGTAAAGGCCTCTCTTCCCAGTGCAGCCCCTAAGGGTGGAGTCTCTCCTCACAGCAGTGTCACAGCAGAGCAACTCATGTTCACTGGCACAAATTACAGCAGAGCCAGGCACTCCAGAGGAATGGGAAACATTGCACCACACCAGATATTAACCCACTGGAGCAGTGGGAGGAATGTGCCACTGCCCTTTACCCAGAGGGTTTGGTATGTCCAGCAGAAACATTCAATAGTTTTCTGGACCCAGTGGGAAACACCTCTCTGTGCTGAAGAGAGAAGCGAGATGGAATCAGAGATGTCCAAAGAAACATTTCTCAGCAGTTCTTCTACCAGAGGTCTAACACAGCCCAGGAGGCACCAAGGGCTGTTTCAGATCTGGTTCGGGTCACTGCCCAGTGAAGAACTGTCACAGCTTCCCCCCAGCTGGGGAGATCTCAGAGATGGGTTTGGAATTCCCAGGAACAAAAAGGCTCTTAGTGACAATCGGTCATTAGTGTTTGTCCTTGCTGCTTGTCTCAGCAGGACACAGGTTGGGTCAGGGGTGGAAATAACCCGCTGGAGAAGGGACAACTTTATTTCTCTTCAACTGAGAAGGGCAGGACCCAAATGGGTGCAAAGCCCATTGCTGCCCACTGTCCCTTGTCTGTGACATTGGTCACAGAGTCACCGTGCCCTTGGCATGACAACCTTCCTTAAAGGCCACAGCAGAGAACCTGCTGTGGAGTTTAGGAGGCAGGAGGGGACTGAACTTACCAGCTTGGACTCGTAGAGCTGTATGTTTTTGCCAAAGAACCTGTGAGGTAGAGGCATCGAAGATAATATCCCGTGCTGGGCTTGATATGAGCTTGGAACTTTGTCATCTGCTGCTGATTTGCTCATGCCAGGCAAGTCCTCTTTTCCTGGGAATGGGTACCTGGGTGACTCCAGGGAGCCTGGAGACAAGACTTTCTTCAGGGATAAGTATCTGACGGATGACACGTCTCTGCTGGGTGAGGAGTGTCTCCCAGGGGAGACCTCTCCTTCTGGGGGGAGCTGTGCTCGTGGGGACAGCTCTCTCCTGGGGGACAGATGCCTGCTGGGTGACAGCTCAAGCCTTGGTGACACACATCTGAGAGGAGATGCCTCTCTCCTGGGAGAGACCCTCTGGCAAGGAGACAGCCCCCTCCCCGGGGACAGGCACCTCAGAGAGGACAGTTCTGCAGTGGGGGAGAACCTCTTGGGTGACGTTTCGTTTTTGGTTAACAAGTGCTTCCTCGCCATCATTGGTCTGCTGCCACCCCTGCCAGAGTCCTGGCTGGGAGACCACCTTCTCCTGGGGGAGGTGTCCTTGGAGGGTGACAGGTCCATGGCCAAGGACATCTGTGGCCTGGTGATGGACTCTCTTCCAGCAGAAGCCAATTGTTCGGTGGAGGTCAAAGCTGGTCTGTGGAGACTCAAGAAGCTGTGGCACACAGCAATGTCACTGCTGTCTGCTGACCACTTGGTTTCCAGCCCTGAGGACGAGGCCTGCTGGCCTTCACCTGCTTTTTGGGTGCTGGAAACGGCGTCTTGGGCTAAGGATGATGCTGTTTCAGTGCCTTCCTCTTGAGAAGATGGAGAGCCACCTGAAGAGTGCAGCAGGAGGGTGGTGTGTGTGCCTTCAGGCAACTTCAGAGGGGGCTCATCTTGGCTCTCCTCCTCCTCCTCATCCTCCTCATCCTCATTGTCATCATCATCGTCAGATTCCTCGAGGTCTGAAAACTGGTGTTCCTCAACTGGCTCGGATCCCTCCCGCCCCTCAGAGTCCTGGAATAGGTCTTCACTGGTTCCTGGGGGCATGGAAAACACAAAACAGAGTCAAACACACACACAGGGGCTGTGCTAAACCTGCTCATGAGTTCTAAGGGCACAAGAAGAGAGAGGACTTGGCTCTTTTCTAGACCTGATCAGTCCTGCCCTCTGTGCCAACTTCAATCCCAATATTCCCAGTAGACTCCAGTGAATCCCACCTCAGGGACCTCCTGCTCTATCCCAATTTCAATTCCAGCCATTGCTCTGTCAACACATAGAGAAAAAGGCCCTTAAGAGATGATGGAAATGGCAGCACTGTCAGCTTGAGTGGGGATTTTATGAGTATTTGTTGCAATGGTGTCTCCAAAAACATGTCAAAGTTCCCCTCCTCCATGTGCTGGGCCTTTTCCTGCCTAGAGTTCCTGGCAGTTAAACATTAACAAGACAGGCCTTTTACTAAAAATCAAACAATAGGGTTGACAAACCCTCTGTGGATTTTCCCTTGATTGGATAAATTCCAGCTGTGATACAGATACTCCTTTGTGGCAGAGGGTTTGGGGTCTGTGTGTGGAAGGCCTTGCACGGCTGTGCTTTGTAAATCAGGGCTTGTAAACAGTGAGGGAGATACAGAAAGCAAATTGTAAAGGATTGTAAATACTTCTGCAGGTAAAAACACAGCATCTCTCTCCTGCTCTGAGGGCCAGCAGGAGCCTTCTGAGCTCAGCACAAGCTCCCAGACAGGTCCGTGCTGGCTCCCCCTGTGCTCTGCTCTGAACAGACACAAAGCTGCTGTTCCCAGATGTGCAGCGATCCCGGCAAAGTGCGAGCTCAGCCCCGAGAGGTCCGTCGGGAGCAGCCACTGGATGTCACTGCAGCTCCAGGAACTGCTCTGGCAGGAGCTGCGAGTGCCCCCGCTCTGGAGGGGCCGATCATCACCAGTTCACCGAGCTCTGCCCGCGCCGAGCACCCCGAGGATGGGGCAGAGCTGCTGGGACACACCTGGCTCTGGAATCCTGGATGCTGCTCTGGCACCGGTGTGGAGCCAACTGCAGCCCTGCTGGCCCCTGTCCCCAGGAGCTCAGCCGGGGACACTGTTTCCCCTCTGCTGAGCACTGGAGCAGTTTCCCTTTCAGAGCTGCCATCTGTCAGCAGGACCAGCCCCAGGGGACAGCAAAGGGAGCTGATCCTGAGGTCACCTGGAGCTGGTTTGCAGAGGGGACATGAACTGGAGCTGATGCTGAGGCTGGACCTCACCTGGCAGGTGGTTTGCAGAGGGGACACAGCCTCACAGCAAGAACTCACTCTGAGCCGTGAATAAAACATCTAATTTTGTTTATTTGGAATACCAGGGCCTTACTAAATGCTCATGAAGTATTTGGCATGACCAGTGACAGGCATTTTCCCATGGCTGATTATCCATCCAAGACTCAGCCTGAAAACTGAGATAGAAAGGAGCTTCTCATTTGCTTCCCATCCCATTTCCAAATCTCTGTTTACTGGTCCATAAAGCTAGAACTCTGCCAGCATGGAGGGAAGGACCAGCTCTCCATGGACAGCCCAGCCTGCACTGCAAAGCCCTCCACAGTGAGGGGGGTCCTGGGCCCAGGGTCCAGTGCAGGACTGTTTGCAAACTCCCCAAGGAACTGAGCTCAGAAGAAACATTATTCCAAACAAGCAGCTCTCCCAGCTGCAGGGTGAGCCCTGCATATTTCTGGCTTGGAAAAGGAATGTGCTTCCCTGTCAGAGCCATGAGCCAGCCCCTGATTGTGCTGTTGGGGTTTGACATCTCGAGGGGTTGGGACAGACAGTGCCTCGCCCTCGGAGAGCCTTGCCCTGGGTGGGCTCAGATTTTGGCCCCAGTCACACCAGGGATGGGCACTGGCCAAGGGCAGGAGTCTGCAGGGAGGGGAACATGAGGCCAGTTTGCATTTGCCACCACGGGACACGGTTCAGTGAGTCCTGGGACAGCCCCAAGGGAATCTGACTTGTCTCCTGACATGATTCCAGCAGGCAGGAACAGAGCTCAGACCTCAGTCTGGGCTTCTGGCAACCCAGATCCATCTGCTGAGCTCATGGGGAGAGAAGGGGCAGGTCAGGAGAAGACAGAGAGGGAGGGAGGGAGGGAAGGATGGAGGAAGGAAGAGAGAGGGAACTAGTGAGAATGTGTCCTGTTGATGGCTTTGGCTGAGGGTTCGACTCCATTTCATTTCCATTTTATGTCACTATTTATTCTGTGGTTATTCCACCCAACTGGTAGCAAAACCAAGGCAGGAGTGAGGAATTATACTCCAATCTCCTTTTATAGTAACACCCTTTGCTTTCTTCGGCCCCTTAAATAGAAATAAAAACGATCAAGTGAAATATAACCCCAGTTTAAAATAATCCAGGGAATTTTAGGAACTGCTGCTCCCCAAAGGAAAGCACAGCAACCTTCCTGCTCTGCTTTGTGTCAAGTGGAAATTCTAGTCCTTTTTTTATTATTTAATTAAAATAGTCCTTTGATTTCTAGTTCTGACCCTCTTTGCAAAGAAGAGAGAGGACACTGTGGTTACTCTTTGCAACCCCCCACTCTGAGAACAAGGTGTGACACAGCTGTGAGCTCTGATTTCTCATGCACCTTTCTGCCATTTTTATGTTATTTTCTCATCCATCCAAATAGCCCCAATCATTACAGGACAAAATCCCATTTTCTGACCATCTTCTTGGCTGCCTTAGTTAGTGTTTACTTGACATTTGTGAGCAATGGGCCTCCTTGCTCCTGGAGCAGAATTTCAATTTCAGTAGAAGTCCAGTGTTGGCTTTAACCAGGTGAAAAAGAAGCTGGGAGGGGAGCAAGGAAACATGCCCTGATCCCACACCTTCCCAAGTGCACCTTCCTGCATTCCTGCCTGGCAGCCCATCCCCTTTACACAAACACCAGGGATCTGCCTCCATGGGAGGAAATGGGGACTTTGTATTTTTTTTTTTTTTGGTAATTCTAAAATTACACGGATTTCTTGCATAATGCAATAAATTCCAGACAGCACAAGGCATTCCAGGAGCAGCCTCACAGCCAACAGCAACATGGGGAGGGGAGTCCCTTCCAGGAACCCTCTGCAGCCAGGGGGGCTCAGCACTGTCCAACCTCAAACACTGGGGGGTCAAGGATTTCCTGGTGGCCAACACCAAGTGCCCCAGCTGATGGTCCCATCCTGCTGCCTGAGTGCTCTCCCAGCTGACCTGGGGATGCCCACAGACCTTCCTGGGGCTTTTCAGACCTTCTCTATCCATGAGGCCGAAGGCTGAGAGCAGCTCAGCCTCATCCTCTCCCAGACCTCCCTTTTCCTGAGCCTGGCAGGGCTTTCACACCCATGGGGATTTTCACAACACTCACCCAGGGCATTAATCCTGTGTGACCCAGGGGTGAATGGCTCTGGAATCACAAAGGAAAACATTCCCCTGGCCTGCTGAAGGGAGCCCTGATGTCCTCAGAGCTCCAGCTCCACAGAGCATAAATAGGATGTTGGATTTTCAGGTTTTCAGCAGTGACACTCAATTAATGTGATTCATTAGTTCTATAATGGAAAGGTTTAAAATAACAGTTGTTCTTTTAGAATTATGCAACCAATATTTCAGAGGCACTTTCCTCTCTTCCCAACCAGCTTTGATTATAGACTCAGGAATGCTTTGGTTTGGAAGGGACCTTAAAGATCATCTCGTTCCACCCCCTGCCATGGGCAGGGACACCTCCCATTAGCCCAGGTTGCTCCAAGCCCCATCCAACCTGGCCTTGGACACTTCCAGGGATCCAGGGGCAGCCACAGTTTCTCTAGGCAACCTGTGCCAGGGCCTCCCCAGCCTCACAGACAACAATTCCTTCCCAATATCCCATCTCTCCCTGCCCTCTGGCAGTGGGAAGCCATTCCCTGTGTCCTGTCCCTCCATCCCTTGTCCCCAGTCCCTCTCCAGCTCTCCTGGAGCCCCTTTAGGCCCTGCAAGGGGCTCTCAGGTCTCCCTGGAGCCTTCTCTTCTCCAGGGGAACCCCTCCAGCTCTCCCAGCCTGGCTCCAGAGCAGAAGGGCTCCAGCCCTGGAGTATCTCCATGACTTTAGTGACCTGCAGAAGCATCACCCATGTGTGGTGTAAGAGCAGGGAGAGATTTCTGGAGACTATCAGCAAATCAATTGTTTAAAGTGAGTTCCTGGGCTGAAAGATTTTTCCAGCAATCCCACATGGAGCAGTCTCCCTCTCCCACTGCTCCCACCACACCAACACTTCTCCCTTGGGACTGGGTTTGCTTTTGGCCATGTCCTGCTTTGGAAAGGGCACAGCAAAGCCCAGCGCAGCTCTGCCTGGTGGAAAGGTTGTTCTGAAGAGCTGGAGAAGAGCCAAGAGCTCAGGAAGATTTAAAAGGAAGAAAACCATCTTGTGAGGTGGAGTCAGCCAGGTCAGACATCCTCAGCCTTGGCTGGATATTTATTCTGCATGGCCTGGGAGAGCTCTTGGTCCATCCCTGGGCACCAGGAAAGGCACTGGGCAAGGGACAAAGGGGGCTGGCAGTGCTGGCTCTTCCTTTCTCCTTTGTCCTCCATCCCTGATCTCCCAGGTGACCACAGTGGGGCTGAGCCAGAAGCCAAACCTGAAAGGGAAGGGGAGCACTGCCCTGGGGATCCCTGGGCTTTGGGACTGGTAACCAGAGGGACTTCTCAGGTGTCTCCTCCAGCTTGTGTAGAGAATCACAGAATGTTCTGAGTTGGAAGGGACCCACAAGGGTCAGAGTCCAACCCTTCAGTGAATGGCCCATATGGGATCAAACCACACCCTGGGTGTTTTCAGCCCCAGGATCCAACCAGCTGAGCTCATCTCTGCTGAGCCATGGTCAGTTCAGGTCAAGAGACACATCTGACCCAGGACAGGGCAGTGCCAAAGCCCCACAGCCCCCTCAGCTTGTTCTCTGTTGCATCTCTGTTCCCCCAACCCAGAGCAGCCCCATCCAGCCCCCTGGGCAGGAATGCTGAGTCCCAAACTGTGCTCAGCACTTTTTGGCAGTGTGGTCGATGGGCTGAGCCACAGGGGGTTGGTTGTTGGTTGCTCCTGCAGTTGAGATGATGGTGTGTCAGTGCCTGCAAACATCCCCAGCACTTCACTAACCAGTGTGGAGATCCCCCAAGGGTTCAGCACGGCAGGGGCAGCATTTCTAAGCTTTAATATCCAAAAATTCAGCCATAAAGCACCTTGGAGGTGCCAGTGGGCCATGCCTGGTGGGCACAGTGTCCCCAGCCCTGTGACACCCTGGCACCACCCCAGCACAAGGAGCTGCAGCTGCAGCAGAGCCAACCCTGTCCTGCAGGGAAACACTGAGTGATTTTTAATCACCTGTGGAGGAGGAGTGTGTGACACTGCCCAGGTCCCAGGAACAGCCCCGTTCCCAATAAGGTCTGGGATGGACCTGCCCCCAGCAGGGGAGTGGGGTGATAAGCAGTGTTTGTTGTTCCTGCCCAGTCCACATTCCCTGGCTCCCACTCCAGGGCTGGCTCAGCTGATGTTCACTTTACAAAAATAACTCTGGCACCCTGTGGTTGATGGAGTTCATTTTAACCCCTTGTCAGCAAACCCTCGTGTGCTGGGGCAGAATGAGGACCAGGGATGGGGGGATCAAACTTGTCTGGGGTGAGACAGGGGCTGAAACAGGGAAAAAGCTGCTGAAGTCACCGAAAAGGGCTGCTTTCACCCTGGGACTGCTGGGGTGGCAGCCAGGAAGGGGCAGTGGTGTTGTGGTCATGCAATACAAACAGGAACACCCCCCTGCTCTGTGGCACCGGGGGTTTTATCCAGGAATAAATTCCCTGGGACACAGACAGTGCTGTGGGCTCTGCCTGTAGATGGGCCCAGGCACCAGTGCCTCCAGATGCAGCTCAAGTTTGCACTGGGAATTTGGAGCAGCCTGGGATCAGCCACATACAGTAAGTTGGACAAGTCCCTAGAAGATGCTCCTGGTGGAAAAGTCCTTCTCTGAAGGCTCTTTCATGAGAAAAGTATCATCTGTGTTCCCAGAGCCTTTTCCCCTCTAGAACTCTGCAATGTTTCCCATAAATGTGAATGGCCTGCTGAATGCAAAAGACCCCAAATTTCATGGGGACTTGAGCTCTTCTGCCCCTAAAGCTTCATCCCCATCATTCCTCTGACCCCTGAACATTCAGGGTCTTGCTGAAGGACACAGAATAGCAACAATCAGAACATCCAACTGCTCCCTGGGGACCCACAGCCTGACCCTTCCCAGCCTCCAGTCGTTTGGGTTAAAGAGCCTTTCCTGGCACAAACTGCCAAGTACACCTGAGACTGCCCTGTGTTTCTTCATCTCCCAGTCTGGAGTTCTTCCTCAACTTTTCTGATGGAGACAGGAGTGGTTGTCTCAGAAGGAGACAAGGAGACTCCTTGGGAGGCCTGCAGGGAAATGCAGCTGCACACACCTTAAACCAGGGGGGAAATGAGCAGATAAGAGAGTCCTTCTCCAAGAACAGACTCACTCCTGAATCTGCAGAGCCCTGGACAGACTTTGTGTGTGTGTTTGTTCAGAAGGAGATGAAAGAAGGAAGCAGGTGAGTCAGGGGAAATGTATCTTCTCGTAAAGCACTCGCAATGATGCCACTAAATGTCAGAGACCCATGTTATTTTGGTTTCCCTGGCTCTTTCCCTGCTGAGAAATCTTCCAGATAGTTTCTGACCTGCATGATTCACCTTCATCCTGCCCATGGACACATGAGAGTAAGGGATGAGGGAAGCAGGTTCCCCCTGTGATGTCCCTGGGATCCCCAGTGCCTCCAGATGCAGCCCAGGTTTGCACTGGGAATTTGGAGCAGCCTGGGATCAGCCACATACAGTAAGTTGGACAGGTCCCTAGAAGATGATCCTGGTGGAAAAGCCCTTCTCTGAAGGCCCTTTCAGGAGAAGAGTATCACCTGATCCCTGATATTCCTGCATTGCTGGTGTCCATCCCCCCTGCAGGAACATCCCCACTGCCTGCAGGGGCCATAGGCTGAAGGGTCACCCTCACTCTCACCACCTTGGCTCCAGTAAAATGGGCTGCCAGACCCTAATCTGGGGTGCCAGGGCTGGTTTTTCTCCTCCACCCATCAAACTGTGCTTGCAGCACCAAAGTGGGGGTTCACAGCCTCAGGAAATGCATCCTCGGGGTAGGTCCCATTTTGCTGCTTCGAGACTCCCTCCACATCCAGGAGAGACCTGGGCTCTTCCAGAGCAGTCAGGCTCCTCAGCTCCCTGCTACAGACACCCCAAAACACCTTCTCATGCCACAGGTTCACTATTTATTCTGATGCACAGAGCCCACCCACAGTGCTGGGCCATGTTTAGGGTGCTGCCCACCCACCCCTGTGCTCTGTCTGCAGCCAAAGTACTTCAGGCAGAGTCACAGAATCATTAAGGTTGGAAAAGACCTCCAAGATCACCAAGTCCAACCATCAACCAGCACCACCACTACATTCACCTCTAACACACAACCTCCAGCAAGGAGACACGAGCTCCCAGCCTGTCCCACTGGTGCAGCCCCCTGGGATGGCCCCAAAACCCACACACAGAGAAACCTCCCCTGGCTGCTGGAAGGAGCCTGGACTCAATAAAACCTTTCCACATCTTTGGAAGGATGATCCATGGAGCTCCTGCCCTCTCTCAGCATCAACAGCAGGTTTATAATGTTTATAATGTTTATAATGTGAAGGATTTTACCTTCTTCGGCTTCCAGATCCACCAGTGAAGATACCAACACGCCCATCTCCTGACATTTTTTGCTGTGGGCCTTTGACTTCATGTGTTTAGTCAGATTCCCTGAAAAGAAGCAGAAAACAGATTTTGGTCAAATATGGCTCTTTTTTCAGGTTCTTTTTTCATCAGTTACAAGTCAAAACTGTGGCTCTGAGCCAGACAAAGACCCCTGACTGTCCCCAGGCCACTGTCCTTGACAAATACGCTGTGACACAAGGCCAAGTCCTCCCTTTATCCCTTTGCTGCTGCACTGGGGTGCAAGAGGAGGTGCTGGAAGGGTCGTGTGACCTTTCAGGTGTTGTGGAACCTGAAAAAGCTGCTGGGACACAGTTTTGGGCTTGGGGGGAAGAGAAGTCCTGGGTTGCTCTCAGCTGTGAGGGTGCAGCAAAGGAAAAATGGTAGGAAAGTAGGGCAGAGAAACATCTCAATGTAGCATCACCTCCCAGCCCATCCCAGCACACCTGGAGGGGAGAAGCTCCTCAGCACCACAGGGTTGGTTCTACCCTGGTTCAAAACAACTGCAGATGTGGCACTTGGGGACATGGTTTAGCCTTGGCAGTGCTGGGTTAGGTTGAACTCAGTGATCTTAGAGGGCTTTTCCAACCTTAACAATGTCACGATTCTACAATAAAAGAGGGTTTGAGTTGACAGCAACAAGGAAAAAAAAACCCCTCTTTTCCCCCAGGATGGCTCAGGGGCTCTGGCACGAACCAAAGTGCCAGGGAAAAGTTCTGAGGAGTCCTGGATACCCTCTGGGACATGGGGTCTGCCAGCACTGAGAAAATGAGGTTTTCTTGGGGCCAGGGTGGGAAGAGCAGCCCCTGGGAAGGGGAGGAGGGGCTGTGGGGGACATTGGTCCCTGCTCTGGGCCAGGGGGATGAGAAAACTGGAGAGCATCCTCAGGGAGCACCTCTCTAATTCCACCTCCCACCTCTCAGGTTAATTAGACAGTTATTAACCCCACTCACAGCCAAGGGAAATGCTGAACAAAGGGGAACATTTGTCCAAGGGGGAAAAGGAGGTGGAACAGAGAGAAAAACAAAGGGTAGGAGAAATAAAGAAATAAAAAAAAAGGTCCCATTTTACCTGTTGTCTCCACCTATTATAAAAATATATATTTAAAAATATATTTACAAATATATATATTTTATAAATATCTAAATATATATTTATAATTATATATTTTTATATAAATATATTCATGAATGTATATGTATAATTCATCATAAATGGTTTGGGGTGGAAGGGACCTTAAAGCCCATCTCATTCCACCCCCTGCCATGGGCAGGGACACCTTCCACCAGCTCCAAGCCCCATCCAACCTGGCCTTGGACACTTCCAGGAATGGGATTTATGGGCTGAGGAGGATGAGAAGAACCCTGGGCTCTGTTGAAGCTCCACCAAGGGCTGTTTAATTCCCCAGCACAGCCCAGGAGCTGGCCGAGCACTCCCCATTCCCAGGATGTGCCATCAGCCCTCCTGGGAGCTGCCTTGGAGGGGAGGAAGGAACACCAGGCTTGTTTTTCTCTCCAAAATTAAAATAAAAAAAGAGGAAAAAGTGAATTCTCTGACTTTATTGCAACGTTCCCTGCAGGCTGAGCTCCCTCAGCTGGTGTCCTGCAACCCACAGAGTCCCCAGGTCCCTGAGCTGGTGGAGCACAGAGGGCCTCTACAACCTCTGCTCTGCTGCTCTGGACAGCAGAAATAAATAAGCAGCTGTTCACTGGAGCAGAGAATTACCTGTGACACCCTCACATCTCAGAAGAGTCCCATAACCACCTCACTCAGTTTCTCTTCAGCCCATGAATTATTTATTTAGCCCATTTTATCCAAAATGGAACAGCTCCAACAGGAAAGACCAGGAGAGACAAAGGCTGACTATATATCCTTGTGTATCTGGCACCCAACCTGGATGTGGATTCAAGGGATATTTAATAATTTAAATGCAGCAAACCAGCTCCAGTAAGAGAGATTTATTATTTTTCAGCTGAAATACCCTCAGCCCCACAGTGAGGACACTCAGGTGGGAGGAGCAGGCCAGCCTGGCTCAGGTCCTTGCTCCAGATCAAACCCAAACCCCTCTTTCTCCACCTTGGGCCAGGAGTTTTGTTGTGGACCCAAAGACACCCAGTGAGACAAGAGATGTTCTCGTGGTTCCAGTGAATCACCATTGTCTGAACATGAAAAACTGTCCCAATGAAAAGTCTCCAACAAGGCCAAATCGTGGCCTCATGGAACTGGAATTTAATGTTGGATCTGACTTGGAAAAATACAAACTGAGTCAAAGTGTTGAAATCAAGCCCTGCTGCTGCTGCCTGTCCATCACAGCCGTGCCAGCCTGGCTGGCAGAGGGACTCAGCTCTGCCCAGCCCCACAGCAAAGCCCTGCCTGGAGCCCCTGCAGGGACAAGAGACAGAAAATCAGCCCAAGGAAACCCTGCTGGGCCCAGAGGGTCCTTGGTTCTCTCTGTGGCACCCCTGAGCTCAGCTGTGATGCCACGGTGTGGCACCCACCAGGAATTTTGGTGCTGCCACAGCCCCCAGACAAGCTCAGGAATTCCCTGTTCTACATCCCCCTGGCTTTGGCTGCACCAGGAGGGGATTACATTGATTCCTGAGGGGATAACATTAATTCCTGAGGGGAGGGGACTGCTGAAGGCAGTGTCTGGGGCAGGACTGCAGCCCCCCTGTACTGCAGGGGCCAGGGGGATGGGATAACTCGTGGGCACCTCTCTAATTCCACCTCCCAAATGACAGGCAGGTTAATTAGACAGTAATTAACCCCACTTACAGCCAAGGGAAATGCTGAACAAAGGAACATTTGTCCGAGAGGGGAAAGTAGTTGGGACAGAGAGAAAAATAAAGGGTAGGGGAATAAAGCTGAAATTCTCAGTGGGCCTCAGTGGCCACCGTGGCCCCCTTGGCTGCCCAAAGGCTGCTGGGACACAAAGGTCCCTCCTGCTCCCTCAGCCCCAGGGCCTTCTCATCCCTCTCACTCTCCCTTGCTGCTGCAGGAGCAGGGCAGGATGAGATCTCAGCCCCCAGCCCTCCACTCCCTGCCCTCTGCTGAGCCCCAGCTCCCTCGTGAGCAGCACTTTGGGTTCCCAAACGCTGCCAGAAGCCACCAGTGTCACTTCCCTTTTCCTCTGCCTTCCCTGGAGGCAGCTGTCCTTGTGCAAGGCATCCCTTGGCTGCTGCCCTTCCTGCCCCAGCAGGCTCAGGGGGAGCTGGAGTCACAGCACAGGCAGTGCCAACCCCTGTGCCAACGAGTTCGTGCCAAACACCAAAGCACCAACTCATTGCAAAACTTGCTTTCCTTCCCCCTCTACTTTTTTTCTGCTTTCTCTCTTCCCTCACCCTCCTTTGGCCAAACACCAAAGCACCAACTCATTGCAAGTGTTGCTTTCCTTCCACTTCTCCTTTTTTCTGCTTTCTCTCTTCCTTCGTCCTCCTTTGTTCACCCAACACTGATGAACGAGATCACCCTGCAAAGCTCTGGGTGCAAATCTCCCCCTGCCCATCCCAGCACACCAAGAGAAATCCCAACAAAACAGAGGGATGCTGGAATCCTTTCAGGGAAGGGAGATTCAGCAGGAGGGATTCTCATCCCCTCTGCAACAGTCTAAGGAAGTTAAAGGCTGGAGGCTCCTTTCCACCAGCTGAGGAGCTGAGTTATCATCCTGGGAGTAATTTGGAGGACAAGGATATTTATCTTATCAGGGCTCTTCCTCTAGTTTGTGTTTTTTTAGACCCCTTAATTAATGCTGGCAGGATTAAACACTGAAGTCCTTCGGCAGATTTCCAGGAAAATCAACACCACTTTGCCTAAGTAAAAGCTGGATGTGAATCCTACCAGGAAAGACTTGTTGCCTTCCAGAGTTTTGGCTCCCAACTTAAAAAATAATAATAAAAAAACCCAAAATCCACACATCATCTCTTCCTTGAAAACCCTGGAAAAAACAGATTGGGAAGAGCAGGAGAGAAACTACGAGGCAGAGAAGCTGGATTTCGACAGCAGAGAACTTATGCTGAACCCTAAGCAGGTAAATGGGTCACACTAAGGATTGTTCACCAAAAAATTCCCAGATTTGGAATAAACTGGCTATATTTAAATAACTTCAGGAATGGGTGGAGGCTGGGAGGCCTCTGCAGCCATTGGAGGAGCACGGGCAGTGTCAGCACAGCTCTCACCACGCCTGCCCACAGCTCTGCACTCCAGCTGCTTAAGCTCTTCTGATGCTGTGAGGTCTTATTTTGGACTTCAAGCAGCTTAAATCCTTGTGTTATTTGGAGAAAGCTAAAACTCCAGTGTTCCAAAAGCACCTAAAGCAGCTTAATTGGGACTAGAACTGATTTCCCAGTTCAATTTAAAGAGGGAAATTAATTTTTTGGAATATCCATTATCGTATTTTAAAGGTAGTGGAGTTAACGCAAAATGTAGGGAACGGAAACATTAAGATTCATGAACAAATGATCCTGTCTGTGTTGGGGATACACAAAGCTTTCTAGTTCTCCTATTAAATCTGATCAGTTCAGCAACAAAAACAAGAAAACCCCAAACAAAACCAACAAGTGACCAACTGTGTGATCTGAGCATCGAGGCAGCACCAGGACACGGGCACAGCTCCCAGGGCTGAGGTATTTTCATTTTTCTCCTTTAAAATACTTTGCAAGGAGAGCAACAGCTGCAGCAAACTCCCATTTGGACAGGCTGGGAGAGCTGGGGGGGTTCCCCTGGAGAAGAGAAGGCTCCAGGGAGAGCTGAGAGCCCCTTGCAGGGCCTAAAGGGGCTCCAGGAGAGCTGGAGAGGGACTGGGGACAAGGGATGGAGGGACAGGACACAGGGAATGGCTTCCCACTGCCAGAGGACAGGGTTAGATGGGAGATTGGGAAGGAATTGTTGGCTGTGAGGGTGGGGAGGCCCTGGCCCAGGTTGCCCAGAGAAGCTGTGGCTGCCCCTGGATCCCTGGAAGTGTCCAAGGCCAGGTTGGAGCAACCTGGGCTAGTGGAAGGTGGGATGGGCTTTAAGGTCCCTTCCAACCCAAACCATTCCATGCCTGTTATGGTTTTGCTGTGAGAGAACCAACCACAGGCCAATGCTCTTCATCCCAGACAGATCCTCGAACCAGATTTTATGTGGGATTTAAATAATGCACAGGCCTTGATTTAGGTCTCAGTGTGGAGATAATGTCCTCAAGTGAGACTTTATGAGAAGGAAAGCTTTAATTTATGTCATTCATGGGGCAAAATATTTCAATTTAAGTTTTTTTTATTAATATCTTTTATACTTATTGACATAAAGATTAAAGGAGAGAATTTGCACTTCAGGCCTGCCTGTATTGATATGGGCTATAAAATATGAGTCACCTTCTGGATCAAACCTATCAAAACCGTTCTTCCAGAAGGGTACCCAGGCTGGGTATGCAGGTTCCAAAATCCTGGGAATTAGCACATTTTCCATTAAGGCTTGTGCTGAGCCTTTAACAGCAGCACTATTTAGACAAAATAACAGTTAATATTTCACTGAACTCACCAGTCCTTCCCTTCCAGCCCTCATTCCTTTTTTTTTTTTACCTTTCTCTAGTTAAAGAACCTTTTTGCCCACAGTGTTTCATCTCCTGTCTGGACCATTGGGTCATTTTCTGTTCCCAGAACACCACATTGTGGAAGGGAACAGCAAATTCCTGAGGATAATTTTGTTCTCATCCCACTGGAGGTTTGTGAGGGACCAAACCCTTCTCCCAGCAGTGGCTCCACAGGGATGCTCAGAACCTTTCCCTCCTCCCAGTCATTAAGGAAGGGCCCCAGCACACAGGGATATTTTGCAAATGCATCCATCAGTGCCCCAGCACACGGGGATATTTTGCAAATCCACCTCTCCCTCTGTCCTGCTCTCCCAGCACTTCGTTCTCTGGGAGCCTTCAGCCAGTTGGACCCACTCTGCACTTTCCAGAGGAGGCTTAGCAGGAGCCGAGTCTCCTGGAGCAGGAACAACAACACACTGTGCAGCCACAGCCTTGCCTTTAAGGGCTGAGGGGGTAATGCTTTTAATATATGAACCTGTTCAATAACCTCCCTGCCTGTCAGGGGCTGATTTAAGGAACTGCAAACTAATTTATTAAAGGAAGGCTGTGGCTGAGGACATGGAGAAGTCTGGTGTCTGGAAACTGTGAGTGGCCCAGACTATCAAATGGGTCTCTTCAGCCAACAGGCACTGATGTCCTTCACACGAGCACCTTTTAAATGAATATGAAGCTTCTTGTCCCTGGTGACCCCTTAGCAAAGGCAGCAGCATTGGCACAGCCTGTTCACCACACTGTGGCCAGAAATTTGGGGGAAACTTAAGTCATCAGGACGTGAGAGGCTGATGTGAGGCTGAACAAGAGCAGAAAATGGCTGTGGAGAAGGAGAATGTCTGCACGGGGGGGCATTAATGTGCCAACACTGCCCCACGGCACCCGGGCACCCCAGGGCAGGAGGGACAAGGGGCTGTGCTTCCCTCCAGGGGCTGGAAAGGAGGGACCAGGGAAGGCTGGGCGAGGAAAAAGCTCTCCCTGACCTTCCTGAAAGGGAAAACTGTAAGACTGCAGCTTTTGCTCCATTTCCTTCCTGCTAAGAAAACAATGAAGAAGCTGCTTAACCTCTTTTAAACAACCTCTTGGAGGCCACGGTCACAAACCTCTTCGGGGAGCTCCACAGTGGAGGCAGAGACACCTCATTAAAGAGGCACCTTTATACCTGGTCCAGAGACATAAAATCAAGTAAATCTTTACAAAGCAAATTTCCAAGACTGTTGTTTCCATCAGCTAAATGAGCACACACACACACACACACACACACACACACACACACACAAATCTCATGGATTTGCTTCAAAATAATAATAAAAAATAAATTTCCCCTGCAGTTCAGTAACCCAAAGGAACAGCTTTGCTTCCAGGGAGAGAAAGGCACAAAAAGCAGACAATTAGTGAAAAGGGAAAAATATTTTGCTGCAAAAGTTTTCATAGTTCTTGGAACACAGATATGGATATTCTGGAGTGGGAGGGATGGGGGGTGAGGTACATTTTAACCAGATAAAGATCCTCATTAAAATTATGAAAAAAACCCATTAACTGCTTCCTGCCTAGTTGAGAGTTTAGAGCATTAGATCATGCTGGAGAGATCTACCACAGCCAAAATGAAGACAGCTCCACAGAGATCCCCCTGGAGTTCATGCTGAAGGCTAAAATTAACTTTGGAAAGCTGATTTCTAAAAAAGCTTCAACTCAGCTCATATTTTTGCCAGTGCAGCCCAGCACAAAAGCTGCAGCTTCTCCATTCTGCAACAAATTGTGGTTGCAAAACCACCCCAACCCCCCCAAAGGAGGCTCCCAACGAATCAGGGCTCAAACAAACACATTCTGGACTGTGCAAAATCCAGTCCTGCAAACCTCCTGCACCTCCAGGTCACACTCCAGCACCACCAGCACTGGTTCTGCAGCTGGTGGTTTTATCAACACACATTTTTCTTACTCTCCAGCAACTCTTCCAGAGGTCCTTGTGTCTTTTTCCCCAAGTTCTGGGGAGTATCAACACCCCCCAGGACACAGTCAGGCTCTGACAGTCCCCCCCTCCCAACAAAGAGCCCTTTTCATGCAATTCCAAATCACCATCATGCAACTATTTATCCTGAAATCCCTGATCCAGGGAAGTCCTGCCCATTCCATGCATCCACAGGCAAATGGATACTTTCCCATTCAAATCCCAACGCGGGGTTGTTGGGTTTGTTTGGGTTTTTTTTTGAAGGAAGCATTTCCATGCTCCCTTCCCCATGCCAAGCCAGAGAAGGGAAGCCCCTTGGAGGCTGTTTGCAGTGGGTACAGTCAGTGCTGACAGATCTTGTGCTTCAAAGGAGCAGAGATGAAGAGCAAAGCAGCCAGAGAGAGATGGTGAAAAGGATGGTTTGATCACAGCATCCTGAACAAAAGCCTCAGAGAAGCATGGTGGGAAGCAAGGTGAAGTGAAGGGAGAGGCTGAATGGATTCACCTCTCAAAGGGAAACCTCAGAACAAAGGAAAAGCAAGAGGGGAAGAGGAAGAAAATGAACCAGAAATAGCTCCAAGTTGGGAGGGTGAGAAAGAACCATCACTGGGATCTGCAGCATGAGAATCTGGCCTCGAATTCAGTCTCACTTCCCCACAGCCCCAGTGACAACCAGCACGTTGTTACCCAGAAATCACCCCCAGCTTTACCAGCCAAGCTCCAGGCACTGCCCACCCAGAACCACCCGTGTCTGGGTCACTTCTCTAGCAGGGACATGCCCTCCACTGCCCCTTCTGGGTCAGCACACGTGCCACAACCCAGGTAGCACCCAGTGCCTCCTGCCCACACCCACACTGTGCCACTCCCTTGGGTGACACCGGTTTTTGACTCTCCCTGCTGTGGCATCTTCTGAGACCTGCAGTGATGGAGCTACAGACAATGGACATTTTAGCATATCCTGAGTTGGAAAGACTCCCAAGGATCATCCAGTCCAACTCCTGGCCCTGCACAGACACTCCAGCAATCCCACCCTGTCCCTCAGAGCATTGTCCAAACCCTCCTGGAGCTCATTATTTGTGTCAAACTATGATCAAGAAACTCAACTCCTCGCCTTTATTACAAAACTTGCTGCAACCAAGGATGGAGGGGACACTGGTCAAACTCACAGCAACGAGAAGTTAAAGGGACCTGGGCACCTCTGGCACTTCTGAAAAGTCCCATTACCCACTGACTGTTGGTTTGTGCACATTCCTGACAATGTTCACTCACACACTCACTGAGGCAATGACAAAGGGCTCCCTCAAAAAATAACTAGTGGCAGTGAGGCTGTGGATCATTAATGACTAATTAATGGCAATTAATGTCCTGGAATGGAGGCCTTTAGAGAAAAAAAGCCTACTGATATGATATAGAAAATGTGGAAGCCACATGCAACTGAGGAGGATGAAGATGGGCAGTGCCAACAGATCTCGAGAGCACCAGCATGAAAAGCCACCCAAAGATGTATCCAGGTGCTCCATCAGGGATGTTTGCCTGGAGCTCCTGCTCTCATTCTGGGGTGGTTTTGGGTGTAAACCCTGTGTTTCAGGCTCATTCCCTTTAAGAAGCACAAGTAGGATGGTGCAGGCTGGGACGTGCAGCCGGAATGCAGGGCTCTTCGGAAAACATCAGCCAGTTCAAGACTCCCTCAGCCCCCTCCCTCCAGCTCCTGGCGTTTTCCAGCCCCTGGGAAGGCTTTCCCTTCCCCTGTGCCCCCGGGAAGGCTCATAAGTGAGAGCAGAGGAGCCATGAGCTCTTACCTTTGGTTTTAAAAGCAAAGTTACAGTACTTGCAGACGTACGGCCTGACGTCTGTGTGCGTGCGAATGTGTTTCTTCAGCATGCTGGGTTTCTTGCAGCGAATTCCACACTCCTCACAAACATACTTCCCTCTTCCACGGCCTCGCACATACACATACTCTTCGTTTGATTTGTACCTATGAGCAACAGGTGTCATGATAAAGGCAAAAAAAAAAAAAAAGAAAAGCAGATTCCCACCTCCAAAGAAGTCACAAGTTTCGTCATTGACCCCACCGCGGGTCTCGGTTACCGTTCGGGAGCTCTGGGTGATCAGGCTAAATACAAAATATCTTCAAAAGCTTTTTTTTCCCCTCGTCTGGAATGTGTTCTTGTGTCCTACATCTGCTTCTGTGTGCAGGCAAACAGCCCAAAGGCTGAGATCAGTCACTCGAATGTCCTGGTTTTGCCCATCCTCAAACACAAACTGAGGCACTCGGGGTGCCCTGGGGAAGGTGTGTCCCAGTCCAGCCCAGCTGCCTCAGTCATCTCTCTCCCATCAAATATGCACCATGAAAAGTCCTGAGGAACCTCCTGGGACCCAACCTGGTTGTATCCCAGCTAAAATTCCTGGGATCCAACCTTCCCACCCACTGGGACAAGAGAAAAGCCACCTGAGAAGACACTCATGCCACACTTCAAGCTGTGATCCCTGCCCAGACTCTTGATAGGATGGGACACCCAGAATGGACACAGAGAGAAGAAAACATCCAGATTTTTTATAAATAAATTGTGCTACCACTAAATGTAACCAGCACAGACTCCAGGCTCTTTCATCTTTGGCACAATATCATGGCTTAGGTTTACCCACGAGACTGACATTGGTCATCCATCCTTCCTTCACATTATACAGTCACTTCTTTTCTGCCCAGGCAACATGATGGGGGTTTGAAAAATACTCTTAAGACTGAGACAAGTCATTTAGTCTCCTGCTGCTCAGCAAATGAAGTCTGCAATTTCCTGTACTTGCAGCACAAGAAGAATAAGGTAACACAAAATTGGTCCCCTCAGATTTTCAAGAGGCCACGTTTTTGAAGCACTGTACTTCTTGCAACTCATTTTTCTATGCAGTAGGAATTAGGTCTGGTCTTCAGAAATCTCCAAACATCCTCCTTGGAAAATCAGACCTTCTAAAGCCTCTTAATAGGGGATCCAAAGACAGACAACACCATCAGTCACCTTTTAGTATCTTCCCAATAAAGTCTATTCCAAACCAGAATGATGAGAAAACAGCAGCCAAACTGAAGAATAATTGAATAAAAACAGCTGCACTAGAATAGATTGAGCACTTAAATAAGTGAATATAGAATAAATCCTAAACCCCTATGTATTCATAATGAAGAAAAAAAAAGTAATTTAAAACTGATTAAAAAAATACACAAAGATCATTAATCCAGCCCTGAGCTGATGGGATGAGAATGTCATGGTCTGCATGGGATGCATCCATGGAAATACATTCCAGTTACCTGCAAGAGTGGATTTAGAGGCAGGGTAGACACAAGGAGCCCTCGATGTCCCACCCAGGCAGAACATTGTTTCATTGCTTAGGAAGAGTCCAGGCAATCTCAGCTCCACGTGGGTGTTTGGGGGACCCACTACACCTGAAACTCAGATTAATCTTCCTGGGTGGCCCCTGGGAGGGGTGAGCTCAGCACTAAACCCTTCCCCTCCTGCCAAGTGGTGCCTGAGCCCTGTGGCAGAGACAGCAGGGGATGCTCAGAGGATGCTGAGTAGCTCATTCATGAAGGTGATGAGGGCACAGACTCAGGTTTGGACACAGACTAGAGAAGAGAGAGGAAAATGGGGGTCTAGAGAGCCCCACTTTGCGCCAGCACCAGCACCAGCAGGTCTCGGTGTCCAGCATGTGAGGGAACAGGCTGTGTTTCTGTCCTTCAGCACCAACAGTTCTCTAGATCATAACCAGGGTCATCTGGCAGCCCAGATCCTCTATTTTATCTCCTGTGATTGAAGCCACAGTAATGCCACCTACTCCATGCCATTCCCAACCCTCCAAAAACAAACTCAACCCCAACAAAATCTCCAAACCCCAGCATCAAAACCCTTCATCCCAAGGTTCTCATTATGTGGCCAGAGGGGACTGAGCTGATGTCTGAGGAGCTCCCACTCTCTCCCAGCCTCCAGCCCAGTATGCCCAGTTACCTCCATTCCAGGGCACACATAACTAATTGTTAGGGATGGCCCATGGCCCTTTTTCAGTTGGTGACTTAATGTTCAAGCAGCAAAAGGAGCAAAAGGAACCAGGAATCCTGATTTCTCCTCTTCTGTTCCAATTTGTATTTGAGGTTTCCTTCTCGCCCTCCTTTCTCCCTGTCATTGTGCTGGCAATCACCTGGCCATTTAAAAAATGAAATTGCTCCTTTATCAGCCTTGTACTTGCACTACCCCTAATTACACTCTCACATGGAAATCTCTGAGCAAGTTCTTTGTGTCCAACAGTCCCTTCATCAGCCTCATTAAAGCAATTGGGGCTGGCTCCTCTGCAGAAAGGGGGACGTGATTTAATCTGCAATTAGACACTGCAGCTTATCTGACAGTCTGGGAGTCTGAGCCATCCTTCAGCACAGGTATCTTCCTACAGTGTCCAACAGGCAGGGAGAGCAGAGAAATAGGAAAGGAAAGTAACCTAAAGGAACCCCAACCCAAACCAGGAGAGAGCAAGAGGTGACAGTGCCACAGCCCAGGGAATGCTGCTGCAGATGCCATCTGCCAGCACTGAAGGCTGCAGAGTATTTATGGAGATAACTCTTCAATATGATGCTGGTTCCTCTGCTCATGTGCTCATATGATTTGCATCAGAGAGACAAACCAGGGACAGCTCACTCTGTGTGAGGATTTGCCCCGGACAAAGGATCTTCCTGCTCCATAAGGTTTGCTGTAACCAGATCCCAGGAATAGCCACGGCTGGAGTTTGTGTCAGCAAATCTGGCCTCCTCTCCCAGAGCACTGTGGAATTCATAATCCCATCATTAGCACCTCACACCTCCTGCAGGGCCACACTCCAACACAGAGAGGATCGGAGAGGCGGGAGGGAATTGGTCATTATGAGCCCAGAGACTAATTTAGGAAATAGTTCTTTCAAACAGACATGGAAAAAGATAAAAACTGAGTTATTTGATGCATTTTTGAAAGGTTATTTGCTGCTTTCTGTTGAATTTTGCTCAACCACTACAAACACTTTCCAGAGCAGGAGGAACTGGCACAGCCATGGGATGACCACCAGCAGCACCAGATTCAGAGACCTGAGGGCCCCAAAGTGGGCCATCACTGGCAGGAGGCACAAGAAACCCAACAGTGGAAAAACATGAACCTGGAGAAAGCTTTGTCTCAGCTCTTTCCCTAAAACTTAGTTGAAACCCAAAGCCACAAAGCATTTCTTCCTTTGAGGCCTTAGGAGGTTTAGTTCTCAATATCTGCTGTTACAAATACCTGACTATCCTGTTTAGCCACAAACACTTCTTTTTTTTCTCTCAGTGCTCTGAGCCACATCCAAAATCTTCATGTGGCTGAAAACCACACAATAAAACCTTGGCCAGCCAGGGGGGAAGGAAGTTTGGTGGTTTGCAGGCAGGAAAGAGGGAGCAGGTTCCTGGGGGACTCATTGCTCACAGCTGGGCTGAATCACCCCTTCTCCCCTGCTTCCCTCAGCCCCCAGGAATGTACCTTGCCCTGCAAAGTCTCTGCTGGTGTGACCTTGCAGGTCACACCCTCCCAGTGGTTCCACCTCTTTGCAAGTGTCACGTAGGCAGTGACTGGGAATTCCACACTTTGAAGCTGTGCCGTGCTTAAAAACACCCCAGGACAGTTTTGCAGCTACTGAACAAGTATTTCCTCAACTGCTTTTGACATTTGATGAACTCCCTTGTTTGCTTTTTGGATTTGGGGGCCATAGTAACAGGAATGGGATATCTGATCCCTTTCCTCCAGCTCACCCTCCAGTGAACCCAGAGTTGTTGCCTTCGGTGTCAGTCTTTGGGTTTTACTGATGGCACATTTCCTCTGTCATCAGGCTGCCCCTCATCTGCCTTGGCTGAACCCTTAGGAAGTTCCTGAGAGTCTGCCCTGGGTTCAACTCATCTAATTGATGTTTTATGCCACCTGCAAAATTTGCCACATCATGGATAAATGTGTCACTACCGCAGTGTCACTAATTTTATTAAGTTTATGGCCCTTCTCACAACTCCCACTAAATGGTTAGACCACTTCTAAATTATTAGACCACTTCTGAAACTGTGTGTGCAGCAGAAGCCCTTGGTCTTACCCATTGCATCCCAAGGGAAACTGCAGGTGGGAGACCCTGCAGGACTGTGCTGAGGGTCACCACACACAGAGGTGTGTCCTCAGGGCCAGACAGTCACTGAAATCTCCCCTAACTCATGCCAAGCTACAGCAGAACAAACAGAAGGATTCCTTTACAAAACCCAGACCAGACAATGTAATTTCCAGGTTTCTAAAAGCATCATAAAACCCTCCAGTATCTCAATTTACCAGACAGGGACACTGCACCAAGACAAACAAGGAGCTTCCAAAGAATGGCACACCACAACAGAGGAAGGGCTGGGTATGGAGACAGGACCTGGCACAGAAATCTCCTCTTTCCTGGCTGCAGGGATGGATCTTTTGCAAACAGAAGTTGCCAATCTCCAGTGGAAGTGCAGGAGAAGAGTCTGAGCTGAACGAGCCTCCACCATTCAGGATGGACACAGCCAAGGAAGCCTGGGGTGAAGGTGGCACTGGGACCATCATCCTGCTTGAATCAGGCACCAGCAGCTCCAACAAGGTTTCACACTGGCAGTTTTACACTCCCCAAGATGACCCAGCAAACCCAGGGCTCCTTCTTCACCAAACATCAGGGCACAGTGGGGCCCTAGTTTTGAGTGGAGTTTAATTCAGATAACAAGTCAGGATCAATGCAGAGATCAATTATGTTCATTCTCTTTGAGCCCAGACATCCAGCCAGCTTTTTACCCAGCACTGTTTGTGCCCCTGTCCAAGCCATAAGCAGCTGGTGTCTCCAAGGAAATGGTGTGGGAAATGGTGCCAAAGGCTTTCCCAAAGCCCAGGCAGACACATCCACAGCCTTCCTCATCCACTGCATGGTCACCTTGTCATAGAAGGAGAC